AAAGGTGTCTGTGAAATGCTCTTCAAACAGGTTCTCATGCTTATTTTATGAATAATTAAATTTAGTAAAACTGTTTGCTGAAATTGAAATGAAGATTGCTGAAAGGAAATCCAGTGGGAAAGGGAAATAAATTAAAATTTAAAGATAATTAGAAAACTTAAATCTTTGTCCTCATTTTGTTTGTTAACTCGCAAAGGATACTAAGCCTTCTAGAAATACTTTGCTTGGCTTGAAGTCTCAGACTGTAATCTGTGGTCTTACTATAGTATATTTGCTTCAATTTTATAAATTATTATCTTTCTTATAAATTGGAAGATGTGGGGGGCATTTGCTTAAAATAGTAAGACAATGGAATCTACAGGTACAGATTATTAATATTTTACTTAACATCTTCTTTTCAGCTTCTTGAATACCAAGGCCTGATGTACCCAAGAAGCAATTTCTGGTAGAAATCTGAAGATTATCTTTAAGGAATAAAGGTCAATGAATTAAGGACAAGAAGGTTTCAAATCAGGTAGGGACACTGAAAAAAAAAATCACAGATTCAATCATCTCAAATGTGTACATGTTTCTCAGAAGCTGTTTGAAAAAGATGAGTGTCTAACTAAGAGGAGTTTGCTTTCAATTAATTCCCTTGGTGGTGGAAGTGTTTACCAGAGAGTTCCTTGGAGAGAAGCTGTTATTGAACAACGTGATTTCCCCCCCATTTTTAGCTCATTGTTACTATGTGTACTTAGCAATCTCAGAGCTTTAATCTCAGGAGACTGCAAATACAGAATAGTAGAATAACCCACTCCATCTTGTCTCCTAAGACAAATCATTTTCATATGTTGTCTCCATGACTGTTAGGTTGTTTACCAAAATCAAGGACCTGGACAACATAAGGTGAGGAATACTTCTAGTTGATTGTATAAGGAAATTCACTTGGTTCTTCCTGGAGCCCAACTAGGCTTAGTTTTGATGCTATGTGGAGTTGGAAGGGAGGAAAATGGGACATGTCGAAGAAAAACTGTGTTTTCATGTAGTTATGTATGCCGGAATCCCACTCACAATTTTCTTTTTCAGTTACAGTTTGAGATGGAAATTTAGGTCAGAGAGCATTCATATTTTATGAGACAAAAAAAAAAAAAAACAGTGACATCAAAATCAAAGACTAGTTTTCTCATGAACTACTAAACATTAAGTACTTAGTGTTTAGCATCATGCATGACCTCTAGTCAGTATTCCCAACAAAGACACATAATAAATGATAGATAGTTTGGTGAGGGAATGAAACAAGTTAGTAAGGCAAAAAAGGTCTCCGTCCTTATGTTGTAGTCTTATGTTCTGGAGTATTAGAACCAACCCATCATTGTAAATGAAACATGGAATATAAGCAGTAAAATCCATTGAATGAAAGGGTTAATCCTCACAATTCTGAGTCAAATTGCATGACAAGCCCAGATTCCATGTTTGCCGAGCTCTATTGTAGAATTAGCCATGATATAAAAGCTTGCATTTGACATGGCTGATATAGCTGACAGTTTATCCTGGTTTCAGATTAATTTTATGATCATGTCATATCCTTTACATTTAGACACAGCACCTACATTAAGATTACTACAAGATGATTGAAATGTTAGTAGAAGATCCCTGTAATAACCTTCTAAGCAATATTATTTTAAGAAACATGGCTTTTAAGCATTTTATAATGATACTCTTAAAGATAAACTCGGCTCTACATTCTTTTTGATGGGTGGAACTGCCATAGTGCCTAAGCAGTGATATTTCTGTAGGCTGTTGTTGTCTTCAGTGTTCCCAGGGGAGAGGAAAGAAAAGCTGCCTAAACAATAAAAGAAATTTAAGTTTCATAGATTGCAATTACCAAAAAACTAAAACACAGTCTAAAACTTGCATACTGAAATTCATTCCAAGAATGTGTGAAATATATTCCACTGGAGTTTTATTCCCTTATTGTTGGGCGGTACACAAATGTACTTACTAATAGCTGGACTTTGGTGGTGCACGCCTTTAATCCCAGCACTCAGGAGGCAGAGGCAGGCAGATCTCTGTGAGTTTGAGGCCAGCCTGGTGGTCTCAAAGTGAGAGAGTAAGTTCCAGGACAGGCTCCAAAGCAATACAGAGAAACCCTGTCTCGAAAAACAAAAAACAAACAAAGAAAAAAATGAACTTACTAATAATATGTTTGAGTTGCTAGCTCAGTCATTAACTGTTTTTGTAGTTTTGCTCTGTATGCATTTTCAACAATCTCAAGTTTACCTCTCAAATCTCTTTTCTTTCTTATATCCTCTTGGTGACAGAAGTTGTACTTATCTGATGTTTTTAAACTTCCTGGACAGCCAAAGAAAGTGCCACTTTAAATAAGGATGACACATGTTCAAAAGTAGAATGCTTCATTATGAAACTAAGATTCTCCTATGAAAGAATGTCATAGCAGAAAGGTCTGTAAGCTGAGGTCTGTAAGCAGATGTGTAGGGACTTCAGGATCAGAGATGGTTTTCTCCAGAATTAAGCCCTAAGTGTAACAATTGCTCTCTAGAGATTTTTAAAACACTCTTGTATAATATTTAATTCTGGAATTGTATATAATTTTTGAAACATAAGATCAAAATAAACTTCTCCAAAGTTAAGAACTGGGATGAACAACACAAGATTTTCCTCAAGTGTACTACTTTGCTTTAAACTCCTTTCATCACCATAGAAGAAACGCTGTTTTTGGTTTCATATAAACATCCACAAATTGTTTTTATTATAAGGTGACCTTTTGTAGTTTTATGGAATTACCATTATATTTTAAATAATCTTCTGTACTTTTTAAGTCAGTGTTATACTTCTAAAGTTCATACATTTGTTTTGAACATCTATTTTTCCACCACTCTTACACTATTTTCCTGTGAAGAGATGAGCGTGTGTTTATCATCATGTTGATGTTGGCATTTTTTTGGCCTCATTTTAATAAGCTTAATGATTATTTATTTCAATATCCTCTTGTACTAAAAGTGTGTGGTGTGTGTGTGTGTGTGTGTGTGTGTGTGTGTGTGTGTGTGTGTGTGTGTGTTTGCAGAGCCTTCTTCTCTATACTTCCAGGCTTTACCAAGCCAGGTGATGGACAGTTTCAATTTGCAATACTTAGCTAGTATTGCTTCAATAAATGTCACAAACCTTTTAGCGTAAATAACAGTTGTTTTTTTTTTTTTCATAGTTCTAGAAACAAAAATGTCTGTGCATCTCAGATGGCTGTTGCCGTGGTTCTCAGTTCTTTGCTTTTTATGGAAGTAGACTTCAGGGTAGCCACTCTGAGTGGATTAGTACTTCACCATTACATCCTCTTTTAACCTGAAGTACATTTTCAAACACAGAGTTCTAATGCCACATTGGAGCAGCAGCTTCAATTTGGGAATCCGTAGTAAAGTCAGTCTATATTTCCAATCAGTAGAAAATTTCCTCATTGGTTCAATTGTCAACATGTTTTCCAGTATGCGAAAGTCCAGAAATATCTTCTACTAATATTTAGGTTTTGATTTTGTTCGAGACAGGGTTTCTCTGTGTTGCTTTGGAGCCTGGCCTGGTACATGCTCTGTAGACCAGGCTGGGCTCAAACTCACAGAGATCTGCCTGCCTCTGCCTCCCGAGTGCTGGGATTAAAGGCATGTACCACCACCACCCAACTAATATTTAGATTTTTATTTTATTCACATACTTCTTACTGTTTTCAAGTATAAATTAATAACCTGTGATACAAATAACTTGACCCTGGCTAGTCTTTAGTGGGGAAAGCATGTCTGGAGATAAATAGACACTCTTAAGAATACTGAAACCAAATTTTTCTTTTGGGATTGCAGCTTTTTATATTAAAATACTCTTTTCTGGCATTATAATGTATACATATCATTTGCGGGGGCAGGTGTAGTCTTCAAGTTCCAGCATATTTTTCTTTTCAAGACAGTAATCTATGCAGTATGATTCATGTCTGATTCATTTTTATGAATCACCAAACTTTTCAGGACCAATCCAAATTCTAGTGATTCTTAAGAGTTTATTTTAATTGTGTTTGTGTGTGTACAAGTGGGTTTACATGAGTGACATGTCCAGTGAGGTCAGTAGAGGGTGTTGAGTATCATGAAACTGAAGTTACTGGTGGTTGTGAGCCATGTGACATGGGTGATGGACTTGGACTCTGGTCATCTGCAAGAGCAGCATGTTCCCTTTATCACGTGTCTCTCCAGAGCTCTACAGCCTCATAATTGTAAAGAATTCTCTCTGACTTATCTGATTTCCCTGTAAGTTAAAGTCAGTTTCTGGACTCCTTACTCTGTTACATTTGTTCATTTCACTGCCCTCAATTGCCATATCACATAATGCTTAATACAGTTCTAAATTTGTATATGCAGGGAGCTAAAATCCTCCCACATTAAAGACCTTAGGAAGATCTAGGCTATTCTTGACCACGTGACCTTTCATGTAAATGTCATAATTAGCAGCTCCACAAAAGATCTGTCAAGTATTTGTATTGAAATTGGACCAAATATGATAAAAAGGTGAGAAACCCTCCACTACTACAGATGACCTTTGCATCAGAAACTGGATCTCTCTTTACACATAATTTTTAATAAAGCTTTTTTTCTGAATCGTGTCTTGGATAAACCTTATTCCAAATTTTCCACCAATTGGAAATGATTTTCAGGTCCTTTCCTTGTAATTTCTTTGTAGAAACACCATATTTTATATCTTGATCTTATTTCCAGCCATTTTGATAATATCAATTATCTTTGTACGATAACAGATTGACTTCCCTAGTAACAATTGACTTCCCTAATAACTTTCTCATAAAATGGGAATGAATATGAAAAAATTGTTTAAAGGTTAAGGTGAGTTCTGCTCAGATCTTTCTGTAATAAAAATAAATATTCTCCATGATGACTTAAAGAGAATATAGTTTATGTGTACATATATATATATCAATTTAATTGTAAATTCAGCAAAATTCAAAGTTTAATCCCTTAGTAACTGTATCCCACACTTAAAATATTTATTTTGGTATCATACATTGTTAGGCTATCAGGATTTGTACTTGACATAATAAGATCTCGTTGGTAAAAATTATCCCTTTTTATTATTTAAGTTAGAAACAAGCTTCTTTTACATGTCAATCTCAGTTCCCTCTCCCTCCCCTCCTCCCCGGACCCTCACTGATCCCCCATCCCAACCCCTTTCTACTCTCCAGGGAGGGTGAGGCCTTCCTTGGGGGATCTTCAAAGTCTGTCATATCATTTGGAGCAGAAAGAAATTTGCAAGCAGACCATCCTCAAGTATTGTAAATAATCCAATATGTTTTCCCATTAAGTGACTTTCTTTAGCAATGTATGCATTCCTACTGAATGACTTAAGACACCAATCTTTGTAATAAGGCTGTTGTGTAAACACTCTACAGTCATTGGTAAGTCTTGTGTTGTTGTCCCAATTTTCAGAGATTAAGAAACATAGGATACTTAGCTAATTCACCTCATCACATGA